CATAATCGAGCAGCCCTAGCTGATATGATATGTTGTCTGAAGCATGTCACTCATAAGGCTGCAGAAACGCAGGTTTCTGTATGAAAGGTTCAATCACAATGGAGTTATATTGCATGCTAGTCTGATTATTCATATAACCCTAAATACTTAAATCCGAGTGATGCCAAGTATTCAGCATGGTGCATTATTTACTGCAAAAACAACAGACACTTGGATCTGTCTCATAATTCATCAACTGATGAGTCATTAAGTAGTGCCTGCAGATGTACTGTACCTACAGTACGATGATTCCCCGAGTCATATCTGTGTGAAGTGAATGCTTAATGCCAAAAGGACAGACTCCTCCAGGGCAACCGATCGCTTATCTCGGGTTCATGGGTCAAAATTGACACGGCTCACTGCCAGCATCTGAGGTCATCGTTGAAGAATGTGGTTCCCTATAAAAGAAAACTCACTTAAGTAAAGTCCTCTCCTTTGTGTCATCAGGCAGCCTTGGATCACATTAGATAAATAGCCGTGAAAGAGAAAGACGCCTACTCGTATGAGAATAAGCTGATTACATTTCCAGTGTTGACCATCCCTCCCCTTCCCTTCCCTCCCCTCCCCTTCCCTTCCCTTCCCTTCCCTTCCCTTCCCTGCTCCTCTTGTGGCGGGTTTTCCAGTTTTACTTGTCAAAATGTTCAATTTCCAATCCTCAATCTTTATCTAGAGATGTTAAATACTAAGGATGAAGGCTGGGGGTGGGTGGAGGTGGGGGGGCAGTGGAAATCTGGAAAGGGTTAGAAGAGGTTGGGTGTTGGGGGAGGAAGTTGCTAGTGTAGAGCTTGGGCGAACACACAATCTCCATGGCAACGGTTTGATCTTTCTCTCTGTGGCTGTCAGGCCTGCAGCACACATGGTGACGGAGTGGACAGGTTGTGCTGATGACCGGTGTGGGGAGGCGAGCTGGAGAGGGGAGGGGGGCACTTGGATCAGAGACAGTGATCTGTGCCCCCTATTCCTCCTCTCATGCTCTCTCTCTCTCTCTCCTCCTCTCTCTCTCCTCCTCTCTCTCTCTCTCTCTCTCTCTCTCCTCTCTCTCAATCTCTTCTCGTCTCTCCGCTCGTCTCTCTCTCTCTCTCGCTCTCTCCCTCTCTCTCTCCTCTCTCTCTCGTCTCTCTCTCATCTCTCTCTCTCTCTCTCTCTCGCTCTCTTCTCTCTCTCCTCTCTCTCTCTTCCCCCTTAAACTCTGCCATCTGCAGACCCCAAGAGCTGCTTTGATTGGATTAGCCATGAATTAATGAGACAGGCTTGAAGAACAGCCTCTGTTGTGGAAATCTCTTATCATATCTTAATTCCCTCTTTGTGTGAGCGCGTGTGCCTCTGTGATCTTGTAGTTTTTTTTAATTAAATAAAAAAATAAAACCCCCACACCACGTCTCAATGAGCTTGTTTTGCAACAAAACATGTAATTACCAAATGATGGAACACATGTTAAAGCTTCATCAGACACCTGTTGCTCCTCTCTTTTATATTAAGTTTGACATATGCATTGTGCTGATTGCTTGTTCTTCACAAATGTCCTTTTAAAAGCTACAAACGACTGTCTCTACTTAATTAGTTTTGTGAAATAATTGTTGCTCTGCTAAAGCTGATTTACCATCGTTCCTGTCCAAATAACTTTAGAAAGACTCAACTTGCATTAGAAGTGTTGTTTTTGGATAACAAGAGTGTAAAGCAACCTTGAAGAATAGACTGTTGTCTCCCTGATGACTTAAACATTCGCCTTCTTTCGAGCACTGAGTAGTTACGAAAACAGGGCACTTCACCCTGTCCTCTTCAATCAAGTCTAAACCAGCAGCATAAAGTCTGTACATCTGTCTCTAGCTGCAACACGGAGATAAGTCTACCTCCAGGTCCCCATGTGTCGGAAATGATTAGCTTACATACATTTATTGTTGTAAGTTTCTTCTTAGCGTGAGATAGAGGGATCAGGTGGGGGGATGGCATTGTTTGGTTTGGGAAGTATTCTGTTGGTTGCATAGCAACAGGCTCCTGGAAACGGGAGTGGACGGTGTTGCCACTAGCAACCGTTGTTGCTCTGCAAACAATGTGGGCCAGTGCAAACATGAGCCAAGACTGTAGGCTCCTGCTTTTAATTGAACATCTGTATGTGTTTTTCTCTGATTGAGACTTGTTTAAGTTAGATCTGTCGGTGACATATGTTTATATCTTGTCTACACTGTGAACATTTTAGATTATAGCATTAGTTAGGTTTTGTGAGTCTTTGGGGTTCTTTAAATGTGTCTTTTCTTGTTTCCCTTTAGCTTTTTAAACTCAGGTAACTCTTGAAAGGAGGCGCAGTTGTTCATGTTGTAAAGCGCTCATCTGGGATTTGGCCTGAATGCAACCAGGCTTCCAGACCAGACATGAACACAGACTTGTGGCCCGAGACGCCAGCCCAGCCAGAGGAGCAGTTTTGCAGCAGTGTTCCATGTCTCCCACTGTGTCCTACCTTTGTGCTTTTCAGCGCTGCTGTGGGGAATTTGTGTGGCTTTTAACCTTTCCTTAACACTAAGCAGACTCCTGTTTACTTTACTCCTGTCTGTCCCGCTCCAACAAAAGGATTTAGTATAATTCACCATACATATTAAAGCCAGTGCCTTTAGTTGAGCTTCAACGGCTGCAAACGTGCCAGTGAGTTCTCTAGTTCCTTATCCATCACCATCCAGCCATGCCACCCACTCCTTAATGGCACGAAGAAGCCTGCAGGCTTGTGTCACTTCCTCTGGTGAAAATGACAAGTCTGAAAATAAATGATGAGATTGTTAGGTGCATGTATAACTCAAGTGACTCCCCATAGACAAATTCCATGCTTTAGAAAAATGCTTTAGCATCGCAGGGGCTTTTTAAATTAAATGTTGACTCCTTATTAGAATCATTGTGATTATAGGCTTTTGGTACTTTTGTAACATACAAGAAAGAAGTGTGAAGAAAATTGTAATGTGATGTGAGAGTCTCTACATGTAAGTGCTAATTGTGCCCTGTGCTAACAAATACAGTGACGGCAGCAGCTCAGATGGCTGCTCAGAGTAGACTGGATATGGTAGGACCATGTGTTTGTCTGTAGATTGACACATATCAGACATTTCAACATAGACCTCCTCCACTCAGGCTGTTAGTCATATAGACACAGCAGTGTCTTTGCCTGTGGCAACATCTCCATCTATGGAAAATGCCAGTGGTGGCACACCCACATCTGATGTTCTGTTTATCTTAAAGGTACACTCTGTATTTATCTTAAAGGTATATTGAGTTTGTCAAAAGTTGTGCTGCATGATTCTGGATACAATGAGAATCATTATTTTATTGTTGAGATCTGAAGCAAAACAATTTTTTAGTTGAATATTTACCCTTCAATCTCCTTTTTCCTGTGGGAACGGCTTGGTCATGTGTGGTAGATGTTCTGGTAGTGTCTGTCCGACAGCTTCTTCTTGTTGTATTTGGCAACAATTAGTTGGTTGAATAACTGAATGAATGGTGTTATCCGTAGAACAGTTTAACCTTAAAAATGTTCCACAACAGAAGATATCAACTTTTTTTGTGTCAACATGTTGGTATTATTCTTCCTCTATCACCTGGGGGGTTTCTTGATAGTGACTAATTTTGCCCATATTGTTCTTATCTTCTCAAAGTCTAAGGCAATATACATCAGCGTGTGTGTTTATGTATTTTTACACACAATATAAAGGTTTGATCACACTGAAGGAGATGGGTGTTTTTCATTCTTATGGAAGTAGAGGTTTGATTTGAAAAAGTTGACTAGCTTCAGCTGTTTAGCCACATGATACATTTGAGTTTGGAGAGCCAAAAGAGTGCGTTTCTGCCCCTGTTGCCTATACAAGCTTAGCCTCCACGTTACTGCAGCCTAAGTGGTGTTTGTCAGATCTCTCTCAGTGAAATAAAAGGACATTGTAGTGCATGTCTTGTGGTATGACCAATCACAGCATGTCTGGAGCTGGATTTGTCTTGCAGTCCTTCTCAGTAATGCTCCCAGAGAACACCATCCCACCGTTTACCTTCTGATGTATCCTGTTGCTCCTGGATTTCTACTCATCAATCCAACCCACCCCCCAACTGTGCCGTATCTCCCTCTCTCTTTTTATAATCCTCCTCCCCCTCTTCTCTTTGCGGTCGCGCTCGAAAGTTCCTGTGGAAGAGCTTTATAAAGGGGGGGAAAATAGAGGAGTGAACGAGGAGGGGGGTGGAGTTGGGGGTGGTCGTCATGGATTCCTCACCATAGCAACCGACAAACGTTTACAAAGCATTGAGGAATTTCCTCATATCAGCTGGATTATTGAGGCCCTCAGAGAACAGCTCTCCAAACTAGCGCTGGATAGCATCAGGCTGGAGCCCCACTGCCATTTTCATCTTTTTCCCCCTTAGTTTTTTCCTTTTTTGAGGGAGTGGGGACGTTGTTTTTTATCCACTTACTCCCTCTTGCAGTTCCATTCGTCTCTTGACCCTGCCTTACTCTCGGTCTTTCCCTTTCTATCCTACAAAAAAAGAAGGGGAAAAAAAAAGGGAGCTTTTGTTGCACTCCATGTTTAGTTCCCCTTTGCTATGCTGTGCACATTGTCACCCAGTGGAAAGCCGAGTGGCGGCAGTCCCTTTGGTCCTAAGCAGGAAGTTCAGTCCTATTGGTAACTTCCACTACTGTACTGTAACTTTTCTGCCGATCTGAAACGGTTGGGCTCTTTATATTGACTGTGATTAAGGCTAAAGGTGGGCAGCCTCTGAGAGTTTCACTGACTCAGCTTGACTGGTTAAAGCCAGAAACCCCATGGGACACAATGGATGCCATGGAGGCTCCAAAAGAGAAGGGGTGGTGTCGAAGAGCATTTGTTTAGTATGGCTGTCCATGTATAGTCAGAGTTACCAATATGAGGGTTTCTTAGGTCTGGAATTAAATCCCTCCTCCTTTTTCTCTCTTCCACTTCTTCATGTCTCCTACAACCCAGCATGCAGAGCTCCGAGGGAGGGTCAGACACCACGACCAGCGTGGCAGCGCTGCGGACGTCATCATCAGCTCAGGCCCCTGTGGTACAGCCTGTTCCAGCCTCCCAGCAGGTAGGTTATTACCTCTACTCCACTGAAACATTAATTACAGGACAAATGTGGAAAGTCTGTTGTGAATTAAGTGTTCCATCTTTTTTATTTTCAAATGTAAAGTAGTTTTATTTACAAGCCCAAACCTGCTTCTCACAAAAAAAGAGCTAGGCGTGTTCACACCGGAGTACTTTTCCCGTTTAGTTCCGTTAGTACCCCTTATGTCGCGTTCACACCAAAAAGAGTACTTAGTGCCGGGAACTTTTACTCCCATTTTTAGTGCCTGCTAGAGAGGTGGTACGAAAATAGAACCAAAAAAGTACAAATTTCTATTGGCTGGGCGAATTGCAAACCACGCCCCGTAAAACTCTGAAAAATGTTTTGAAGCCGCCATTGTATTTGCATTAGCATTAGCCCCGCGCACCAACGGAGAGAGAATAACTTATGGCAACAAAAAAAAAAACATGGGAGCGGTGGAGTGATGACGAGGTGTCGGCGTTCTGACGATTTACTCAGAAGGCTTCAGTAGAACCTGCTGGGAGTCCCAGCAGCTTCTACTGAAGCCAGTCCCCAACTCCGGGCACTTCCGTCTGGGGACTTCGGGTGGCAGTATATGCCGTGAAGTGGTTTGCGGCCTGCCAGTAAACCCAAAGCAGAAGAAGACAAAGTGACGTCAGTGGCTCATTTGCGTAATCTTCCCTCAGGGAAAAGTACTCCGGTGTGAACGTGATTGGTACTTTGTGCCCTGGGGTTATAAGTGCCAGAGCACTAAGGGCGGCAAAGTACTTGGTGTGAAAGCGGCTCTTGTGCTTGGTGTCTGAAATAAAATGGCACTATAAATGGAGTACACGCACAAAAATGCACTGCCTGGCAGAGAGAGGTTTGTGCAGTCATTTATGTTTATTATATTGGCACAAATCTATCTGCACTAGCTTTAAATATTGGGGGGGGGATGTTGACATGTTGACATGTTTGCCTGTCTTGTGTCGACTGTCATATGTTACCAATGATGTGTGTATGTGATTGTATGTGGTGCATACCTATGTAATTGAGTTATGTCTTGTATCCACACAGAGGGTGCTGGTTCAAGCTACAGGCTCAGCTCAGAAAGGAGGACAAGCACAGCAGCTTTCAGTACCCAGGGTTCAACAAGTCTCTCAGCAGGTACACAGTGCTGTACATACTATACAGTGCTGTGAACAAATACTTGTACACCTCTTGAGGCTTTCTTCTCAGTTAAACCATTTTGTCTTAGACGTATAATGTTATCTTTTATAATTACGATTAAATAAGCAAAATAAGCATATGGCCTGTTTCACCGGGACTTTTTCACTTAGAAATGTTTTGTCTTTTCAAGTCATTGGGTTAGAATTGACATGAAAGCTAAATGATACAATATGACCGGGGTGATGCGGGTTTTGCTTTAGTAAACAAGTTAAACAGCAACCAAACCTTGCTTGTGCTTCACACTGAAGGAAGATCCCAACACGGCAGCCCATTCATTCTTCCAAAAGCTGCTCTTCCCAAGCATGCGCCAAGCTGTTTCTCCTGCTTCCTGTGCTCCTCATGGGTGTGCCAAATTGTCTTTCTCTGGCTGAGCCTGGCCCACTGCCTGCGTACATGAATAACATGAAACTAACATCTTATACAACTCTTAAAGGCTTTCAAATAAACCTTATGGTTGGTATACATTTTAAGTGTGAACATTTCTCTAAACTTTACTGCTGCTGCGTTTGTGATGATGTTTATGACTTCTCTGCATCCAAGTGTGTTTTGTTAACTTGCTGCAAAGCCTGCTGGTTCCTGGGCACTTGAACCAAATCCCAACACAAATTCTGTGTTTAGGATCGAATGTGAAATCCAGGTGAACTGACTGTCTACTATGAGCTGTTCATAGGTCTTATATTTCAGGGTGAAATATAAGACGGTAAACCAATAGCAGATGGACAAGTCATTACCTGCCTTTTGTCAGTTGTATGCATCCTTGTATCGTTCTTCATGACACGTGAAGTTTGTCTTTCACACACACACACACACACACACACACACACACACACACACACACACACACACACACACACACACACACCAGCAAAAGCCTACACTAAAAACAAGTATTTTCATTTCACTGACTTTTATGATAAAAAATAGTCTGATACTTTTTAATTATAGTCGCAGTTTGTTTTTCATTTGCACAAATAGTGAGTTGGGAAAGAAAATGTTATTCCTGATTTCAGTGTCCTGTCTGTCTGTAGGTTCAGCAGGTGCAACATGTCTACCCATCCCAAGTCCAATATGTAGGAGAAAGCGGAGAGACTGTTTACACCAATGGAACTATGTAAGCAATGTTGCATTACCCCACAATTATTATTAGGGATATGAAATATGTTTTTCATTGTGTGGCCTTAAGAACAATACAACATATAGTTGAATTCATCCCAGTGAAGCCAACATAATTACAAATAAATAACAGGGATGTTACCATGTCAGAATGTAAAACCATAACAAGTATTTGCTGTGCCGTGTATTGGTATTATAATGTAAATGATTTATTGTAAAATAAGACATTCTTCAATTTGATTCTAGCGTAGCCAAATATGTTGATATCAGTTATATTTTTGTCTGTATAATCGCAATGATGTACTGTATCAAATTCATCAATTCCTGCGCTCTTGTTTTTTTAATTAGAATTTTAAAAACCTGAAGACTGTAACTGCTCGTCATCTGCTTTCTAAAGATGTAATGTAGCATCATGATGGAAAGACATCGCTAAATGCTAACTGCAGTGACCTCTCCCCAGCCGGACAGCCTACTCCTACAACCCCGAGGCCCAGTTGTACGGGCAGGGCAGCGGGGGCCCCTACTTTGACTCGCAGGCGGGTGGAGCTCATGTCACCACGGTGGTCTCCTCTGCCAGTGGTGGGGTGGCCCCTCACGGCATGGTGGGCATCGCTATGGATGTGGGCAGCAGCCACATAATTTCCAGCGGAAGCACCTACCTGATTCATGGTGGAAGTATGGAGGGGAGCCGCAACCACATATCACACTCATCACGCTCATCCTCCGCTATGGTGAGCAACTCCCATACCAATGTTTTTGTTATTCTGATGCACTCTTTCAAATCTATTGGGATTCCATGTGGGAGTGAAAACAACAGCCAAACTGTTTATCAGAGGTTTTGCACCCGACTGCATGATTACTTTTTTTCTTCTTCATCCTTAACTGCCATGTGGTGAAATCAAAGTTTTTCTTCTTTTAATTACGTAAATGAGTTGTTACTACTGCAGAGGTCCCCACTACCACATGGTGTTGTGAGACTGGTGATGACTGTTGTTACCTGAGTCCAGAGGGCCCAGGCTCCTGGACGAGAGCACACAGGGTTTACAGGAACCTGAGTTGGAGCCTCCTGGCTCTGCAGTAGCAGCACAGGGCAGAGAGCCTGTAGAACCAGGACACTGGCTTAAATAATTCAGCGCTGCCTTGTTTCAGAGGTTTTCACAGGCACTTGAGCGCCCTGCGAAACAAAGCAACCCCTGGGGCTCATTACCATTTGGCCATGAGCCCTCTGGAGCCTTCTTAAGGCTTGGAACGCTGCCTGCTTCTTTTTCCTTTTCTTCTATGTCTCCAGTTTGGCTGCAATAGCACATATCTTTTCATTTTGACTTTGGTTTTCTTCTACGGCTCAATAGAGGGTCCTTGGTTTTGTCATTCACTTTGCCCGCCAGTTGGACTGCATTCTTTTTTTTTTGTTGTGTCCAAAGAAAGAATAATATGCCTGTGTTTAATATCATGACTCTCTCTCTCATGTTGTAGCAACAACTAACTCTCTGATTGTTAGATTTTCATTCACATTGTTTACATCTTGGGGGATGGGTCTGGTTAGGCATTGTTGACCTTATTGTCCTCAAACTTGACGTGACCTGTGCCCCTGTTTGTGGTTCCTATTTGCATACATTAGAGTGTCTGACTGCAACCCTTCACTGAGCAGCTTAACCCCAAAGTCCCTTGATTTGCATGCTTTGGTCAGCCTATAAGGGATGTGGCTGCTTGCTAACAGTCTAATTTCCTTTATCTGTTTTAATTTGTTTTTGTGTTTTTCTTCATATACCCCTGCTTATTTCTGTCCCCTTCTCTTCTTCTATCACTCTCCCTCTCCTGCCTCCTCCCTCTTCTGTGTCCACTATATTTCTTTTTTTTTGCATGCTTCTTCTTTCTTTAGCTTGAAATGGCGATTGAAAACCTCCAAAAGTCTGAAGGAATTGCAAGTCACAAAAGCAGCCTGCTCAACAGCCATGTAAGTCAACCAGGAACTTTCTTTAAAAAGGACATGAGGATAAAGAAAAAACAACAAACAAAAGCTGAACATTGAGGCAGTGTGTTCGACTTGTGTACGCAACGTTAAACGCACTACCTACTGCTAGCTTAACTTACTCGTAAATTGTCTCGATACATTTCCATCCTTCATCTGAACTCGCACTCGCTATCACTTTTTGCTTAATAATGCAGCTTTTATATATTTCTTAACACCCTGCATTAAATAGATTTCTGTATGTTTCACTTCTAAGTACACCAAGACATGCACTCAGTGTCACACACGCTTATTGCAATATAACTTTTCCCCTTGTTTGATAACTATAATGAAATACAATAATTAAGTAGTAGTGTTTTATTACATCCATAGTTTGACTCACATGGAAATATGATAAAGATTATTTCCCAACATTTCCATCTTCCAACCTCATTTACATTTTGAACAAGTTGTATAAATCATGTTTTAAGTATTTGCTTTGAATATTTATAATTTGAGCTTTTTATGTAAACTCTCTATGATTGGACTGTTACGACAGAGCAACGACAGACCCCCTCTCAATATTGACTTGAGATGTATCCCCTTGAATGAAAAGCACTCTTCAGATGTTTGGAGTTTTCACTCAATCAGCCATTCTTTATTCTGTAGCCAAGGCAAGATTAGAAAAACAGATTATAAAGCATCGTCACAGCTGGAGTGCAATGGTCTCTTTGGTGTTTAACTTCCTAAAACAGGTGTTTTTGTGGTGTGTGTGTGTGTGTGTGGTGTGTGTTATCTGTCTTTTGATGTGTAAATAAGATGCCCAGCTCCTCTTAATTTCTGGCCAGGACACTACCACAGAGCAGAGTGTGTCCCCTGGCGATCACTGATTATGCAACTGTGTTCTCTGTGTGTTTTTAGCTGCAGTGGCTGCTGGACAACTACGAGACAGCGGAGGGAGTGAGCCTGCCGCGCTGCTCCCTGTATAACCATTACCTGAGGCACTGTCAGGAGCAGAAGCTGGACCCGGTCAACGCCGCCTCCTTCGGAAAGCTCATCCGCTCGGTCTTCATGGGCCTGAGGACACGCCGCCTCGGCACCAGGTACACAGGAAGAGATGTGGCTGAAGCCGACCATGCTTATCACAGCAATCATTCATCATAATCATATACAATCAACGATGTGACACGTATCGTGATGCTCATAGGCAACGGAGACTTTTTGATGGCCGAGGATAATAATAGTGACTCGCCATCTCCTCCTCCTCCTCACTGTGTTCTCTCTTTTCTCTCATGAATCGAACAGAGGCAACTCTAAGTATCATTACTATGGCATCCGGGTGAAGCCTGACTCACCGCTCAACCGGCTGCAGGAAGACACCCAGTACATGGCCATGAGGCAGCAGCCTGTCCACCAGAAACAAAGGTCAGCACTGTCTGCCATCTTGACCTTTCTTCACGCATTTCATTTCATTTGGTTGGTTATTTGTTCTCATGGCAACACATGTTTTGTTTTTTTCTTTACGATAATCATGTATGAAACAATCTAACTTTTTAAAACATTGACCATGTGGCAGCTGCCTCTCTGCTGCTTGCTGTGTGCCATCTTTATTCTCAGAGTTTTATTACCAAGTAGGGTGACACATAAGAGGAACTTGCTTCGGTATAAGTGGTTCATACAGAGACACGGAAAGAAGAATACGTAACCAAAAAAATAAATATTACAATTATAAAAGCTAAGAATAGCCCAAAACACACATCTGTTCTCTTCTCTAACAGTTTGTGGCGTCTTTTGATTTGACATTTTCACTTCCTATTTTTCAGCTATGTGGCAAATATGTGCACGTATGCATGTTCCTCTTTGAACGCCAGCTGACCAGCTCTTGTTCTGAGTTCTCATTTTGATGGTTTATTGCACTTAATGCAAGTGGTTTTAATAAAAGTGCCATTCAAATTAAATCTAATATGTAATGTAACAGATGTATGAAATAAAGAAACCACTCCAATCTCCTCCAGGGCATCTGTGACTTGCATTAAAGGTGACACACGACACGAGAAGGGGAAAAAAGCATTCTTGTCTACTGGGAATTGGGAAAAGATTCAATCACCTTTAAACTGGTTTAACCACTTATGTTCTACTGCTTCTTCAGTAGGTTGTGTGTATACGTAGGTCACTGGGGCTGGCATATATAAAGGTCACTGCTGCCATGTACACTAGTTATTAGATTTGAAACTAGACACACTCACAAAACTATCCCATCTCTAGGGATACAATCAAGCACCAGTGGAAGGAAATATAACAATTAACCAAAACAATGTATGCAAATGTCGTTTTCCTTAACACACAAACTTGGAATTTGACTTCTAAGCTTTTGTGTTGAAGGTGGTATCACCTGAGCGTTTTCTGTGTGGTTTTCATTGAAGTGAAAACCGGAAATGTTGTGTTTGTAAGTCCTTCAAAGCCCAGCTAACATACATGTCCCCTCTTCTCCCGTGTGTGTAGGTTCAAACCTCTGCAGAAGGTGGACGGTATGTCTGACAGCCTGTGTGGGAGCTCTCAGAACTGTAGCAGCACTCCAGAGCAGTCCGTGGCTGCTCAGAGCCAACACCACCAGCAGTACATCGGTGAGCGACACCTAGATTTGTGTTCCCTGATTTGGCTTTACTTTACACATGTTATTACAGTCACACTGGTACAATTAATAGATAGGCATTGTGTTTGTAGAGAAGATTATAAAAACATATATTATTTCTTTCTGTTTGGACTCTTGTGGTTTTATTTATTTATATTCTGTCTCTCGAATATATTTGCCTTTGATTCACACACAAGTGCCAGTCTGGGTGAGTGATGAAATGATTGACACCTGTCTATCTTTTTTTGTCATTCAGATACGTCCCACAACTTGCCTCCATTTCCCTCTCCTGACTTGGGCACCCAGCCTCTGCCTGAGCGCATCAACATGAATGATATCAAGAAGCTGCAGACGCTCTACAGAGAACATTGCGAGGTACAGCTCTACGAATATCTCACTGAGAATACATTGACCTGTCAATTGAAATGGCTTTAAGGGGAAACTGCTTCAATTCTGTTTACAGGTCTTTGGGCTGCCAATGTGAACATAGTTCCATAAAGCTTACTGTGTAAAGCCAGCCTCAAGTAATGTCCCATGTTCCGTCATTACCATGAACGCTGACACTGCTTCAGAGAAGACCCTGCTGTTGCACACACTCACCAGAGCAGCACATGTGTATTATTCCGCTCCTGAAAATAGTCCCCAACAAATGAGTAACGCTTTTCATAAAACTACATTGCCCTGCTGATTAAAACCCATAATCAACCTTTTGTAAAAACCTCACTCAATATCGTGACCCATTTTTAAACGGATCAAAGAAAGTACAGTAGGCTGTCACTCAAAAGTATTGTAATCATTGTTAGTTTAAGACCATTTATGGAGTCTGGTTTGATAAAGCGCATCCTGAAAAGGGTCCTACATTTAAAGCAACTTGCAGCAGGTGAAGAACTGTACTAGGAAAGAGCTATGAAGAAAGGGCATATTGCATAACGACATTTCACAGGTTGAAGGGCATACCTCATGATCTCTGGGAAGGAAGATGCAGAAGAACAACCCTTCAGGATGAAACGGAACAGGGAGGAGAATAGAAATAATATTGAACCCTAAACATTTCTGGAGGCTCCACAGGCCGGAGAGAGGCTGTGATTAAAGCTGTGAAGCTCTGGCTTTATCATATTATCCCTGCCCTCCCCTTGTCCAGCCTCACCACGCTCCCTTTGTTCCAGCCGTCTTTTCATCTCCGTGCAGCTTTCAAGACATGCCAATTAACCTTTCAGCGCGCTGGGTGGACATCTTGGTGTCTTTGTGGTTGGCCTCCCTTGGGCCTTTGTGCTGCCTTGTCTGTGGACAGGCACATGGGCTCCTGCCTTTGTCTGCCAGCGCATTTCTGTCACTCTCACAGCTCTCATTGCCTCTGTGTGTTTAATGTTTATGCATTTCACTTTTTTCTTCTCTCCACTTTTTTGTTTTGGGCCAACAGTGACCTGTTGACACATTAGCCAAGGCTTACATTGACACAATTAAAAACACAAATAAAATAGTTGTCTTAAGCACAAACAAGACATTTTAGGGCTGTAAAGGAACTTGTATCAACTGTCAGCAATTTATTTGTTAATGTCATGGTAACAACAGCATCAGGGATCAGCAGTGTCATTAAATAAACATTTAAACAAAAATGATTAGGTGTTTAATAGATCACACTGTAAGCTGCAGTAGAGTGTGCTCAGATGCCAGGGTAAGATTGGGGAATCTCTGGCGGCTTTCTGCGTTTTGAGCATGTGTTATTTCTCCTCCACACTTTTTCTATTTTCTTTACGGCGAGTTGTTTTTCCAATGTGGCGCAAACTGTGGCGGCAAAACGCTCTTGTTCAGAGGGATGAGGAATTCTTCTTTTTGTTTTGGAGTTCTGTGTTTGACCTGTTGCTCTAGGCAACCGTAAACAAGGTTGTCAAGGCAACGGCTGCAGAGGAAGCAAAAACACATCATGTGATTAAATCCTACAACTGCTGTGTAACAAGATCTAGCGGCAAGTGCATGTCCTGCCAGAGAGAGAGCGAACAGAATCTCTGGGCACAGATCATACTCTGCGTAGAAATGGAACTGAACAAAAGAGTCTGCCTCAACTTCTGCAGCTCTTGTTCTTAACTTTTACTAATATATATATATGAGAGTTTATCCGTTAACTCTCTTTTTTATAACCAGGTTTTCTCCGGCCCAGTTAAGGTCCCCAGCCTGCTTCCTCTGCACTCTTCATTGTTCCTATGCGTGCAGTACACTGTGCTTTCTAAGAGACTCATGCATATGAACAGGGAAGAGGAAATCACATGGGTTAGTTTAGGTCATTGCCTCACCACTAAACGGAGGCAAATGCATGCATACATCTACAAGACTAATCTGCTCTACAAAGGATTAAAAATAACTGAGGGGGGAAATCAAAAAGCTCCAGATGAACGTGGCCTTTAGGTTCCTCGGGTGATTAATGTGTGGAGCTGTGTTTGAGCTGGCTCATTGTCTAACAGCAGGGCCTGCAGTGAAGGAGAGGCTGCTCGCCTGCCTGCAGAAACTTTGTTGTGTGTCTGGTTGCCATGGTTGAGCTCTGTGTGTTTTGTCCCCTCTCCCTCCCTCTCTTCTCGCTCCCTCCCCCCTCCCTCCCTCGCTGCTCTCCTGCAGGCCACTCTGGATGTGGTGATGAACCTCCAGTTTCACTACATTGAGAAACTCTGGCAGACCTTTTGGTATTCAACACCGCCATCTAGTGACGGAAACACCTCCATCTCCAACAGGTCAGAGAGCTGCACCATGAGAAGATAAGCACCAAGAGAGAGGGAGACAATCATTCATGTTGTTAAAGATAAATTAGTAATTAAGTTCATTTATTATTGTATTCATTTATTATTCTTTAATTATTATTGATTCAAAACGGGTTGAAGAATATGTTTGTAAAGAATATCCATTTATTTATAATGGGTTATGTTTAAAAAAAAACAGTAAGATATGATCAGATGATAAGAGTAGTTGATGTTAGCCTGTCTATAAAATAAAAGAACATCTACTTTTATATTAAGTGAGATTTTTTTCCAAGCTCAATGCAGTTTTCTATTTTAATTGCAAGTCAACGTTTTAAAGTGTTTAACCTTTCTTTTGTGTGTGCAGTGACGATGACCTGGACGGTGTGATCCCCAGAGAGAAGCTGCTGGCTCTGTGTAAATATGAACCAATCAGACTGTGGATGAGGAGCTGCGACCACATCCTGTACCAGGCTCTGGTGGAGATCCTCATCCCTGATGTGCTGCGTCCTGTTCCCAGTACGTGCTATTCATAATAAATGTCATTCTACTGCAGTTTTTATTGAGGTGTACAAACATAAAACCAACAGGTAATCAAATAAACAAAACCTGAAATCGGAAAACCGATGCAGAACAAAGAGTAAGAGTGAACATTCTCATTGGTCTATGCATTCTCTGTTTGATCAATTGAAGGTCAGCCATAGCATTTAATGATGTGTTGATGCAGAAATCATGAGGTGTTTGAGAGTGACGGTTGATTTCTTTCAGTTTGTAATCCAGAATGTTCTGTTCCTTCAGGCACTCTCACTCAAGCCATCCGCAACTTCGCCAAGAGTCTGGAGACCTGGCTGACCAACGCCATGACCAACTTCCCTCAGGAGATCATTCGCACCAAGGTAACTAGGAAGTTACAGCGGGTCATTTAGTTCATCACATTTCCTCACTCCTACAGCCTCAATAGTTACCGGTTATCCCCTCATGAGGCTGCTTTGTGATGTTACTTTCCATAGTGATAGTAAACAGACTTATGTGCCTTCCTCTTTGTGCTGCAAATCATTTTTGAATACAGTGAAAATGTTTTGGAATATTGAACAGATTTGGGTTGAAGCTGAATATTTAGTTAGACAAAAACATTGCACCATTTTGCAAATGATTACATCCATCTCTTTTTAAATACATTGTTTTTTGAACCCCAAATACAACTTTCTAAAAACATATTTAAAGCTTCATACTATTCAGTGCAACCTTAAACAAAATGTAACTTCATCACAGAATCCCTAGAAACCTAAGCTTGTTGAAGTCTGGCATCATTTCATCATAAAACCTTGAGAGATACAACAGTCAGGATGTGTCATGTCTCCATGGTGCAGGTGGCGGTGGTCAGTGCGTTCGCCCAGACCCTGAGGCGGTACACCAGTCTGAACCACCTGGCCCAGGCGGCCCGCGCCGTGCTGCAGAACACCTCCCAGATCAACCAGATGCTCTCCGACCTCAACCGGGTGGACTTCGCCAACGTCCAGGTATCATGTCTTCCCTGTTTATTTATCACCGAGACATCGTGTTTAAACTTCAGACGGTGCCCTGTAGACTCTCTGTATTTCCCGTGGTTTCTTGCTCACTGTGGTGGGGTGTGCTTGTTGTCTCTAACAGGAGCAGGCCTCATGGGTGTGTCAGTGTGACGAGAGTGTGGTCCAGCGCCTGGAGCAGGACTTCAAGGTGACACTGCAGCAGCAGAGCTCTCTGGACCAGTGGGCCACCTGGCTGGACAACGTGGTGTCTCAGGTCCTGAAGCCCCACCAGGGCAGCCCCAGCTTCCCCAAGGCTGCACGCCAGTTCCTGCTCAAGTGGTCCTTCTACAGGTAGGAGTAGGCAGAGTGAGGCAGGCTATACAACAGAATAAAAAACCACAGAATGTAAAACATCCTTTCCTCCTGCAGCTCCATGGTGATCAGAGACCTGACCCTGCGGAGTGCCGCGAGTTTCGGCTCTTTCCACCTGATCCGCCTGCTTTATGACGAGTACATGTTCTATCTGGTGGAGCACCGTGTGGCGCAGGCAACCGGAGAGACTCCTATAGCCGTCATGGGAGAGGTAAGACAGAAGATATTTAAAGCAGCGTTGGTTTCTCTATAAATACTGAAAGGGCCATGAACAATATGGTTTAACAGTTGTTTTGTTCCGTTTCATCACAGTTCAGTGACTTGACCTCCATGATGCCATCACTCATGGAAAAAGGTAAGCCTTTATTATTTACTATTATTTATGTGTAGTAACAGTACTTTACTAAATGGAGAACAATAATTGATGGTTGTTTGTTTGTCCGCTTTAACTGTAATTATACATCTGCTCTCTGAGGTAGAGCCTCAACATTCTTTTGTTGCTGCTGGGATTATTAACGGGTCAAAGACCTTTGTCTTCAGTAGGAGCCGCGAGTTAAAGGGTTATTGCAATCGCTGATGACAAACTGTTTCTACTAACCTATAACATCCACACTGTACATTTTATATTTATGTTTCATTGAATATTCCATTCTGTGCACACTCGATGTAAATAATATCCTGCTTCTATTGTGTTAACAGAAAATTGGCCCTTCATAGTGTTTTTATTTGTCAGACAGTTTATAGATTTTTTTTATCTTCACGGTCATCTGTGTATTTGTCTTACACTCTAATGCTGGTTTATTTCTATTTCTATTTTGAGATGTTTATATTTTAGAATAGTTTATTTCTACTCTTTTAATTAGTTAGTATGTGCCTTGTTTTGTTTTATGCTGCTGCAACACATTCTATTTCCCATATTGGGATGAATGAAGTTCCTCTGATCTTATCCTCGCTCTCCCTGTGCCCTTAGACGCGTCCTTCTCCGATGAGATGAGTGACCTGGGCAGTGATGCTGACGCGTCCAGAGGGCCGACTGAGCCGGCCGTAAAGAGAGAGAGGATCGAGCTGAGCCACCCTCTGCAGGAGATGTGAGTCCAGAGGGGCCGGACTGAGACATCCAGCATCTCTGTCTGAGAGGGGGGGCCTTTAGGGGCCCTTTGGGACGCAGCGGCACCCTGCGCTTCTGCAGTTAGTGTGCAATGTATATAAAGAAGAAAGTAGCAATTTCACCTCCCCCCCCCCCTTTTACTAGCGTTTATAATAACGGTGGTCTTTCTACCCGGAAGATCACCTTTTCTTTTCCGTTTGTACTCACAGGGGTGTAACACAGGTCTGATTTTCTTTCCTTTTTTGTTGCAACTGTGAATGACTTTGTGCAGTACCTTTTTATCGGATGTGTAACTTTACGCGGTGGTGTTTGTGATTCTCCTTCTCTCTTTTTTAACCTTAAGTAGCTGTGCCATAGTGTCATTTGAGTGCCTTAGATCGCTAACCTTGAAACCACCACTACAGATGTCTATCTGTCCCTCAGCTGTGCCTCTACCGCAGTATGAATGTATCGTCTCCAAACCTCAGACATTCAAAGCACCTTTAACATTATTTAGGTGTGTATAATCCTTGTTGCCTCTGCTGCAGCTCGCAGCACACACACACACACACACACACACTGACCCAAAGGACCTTCCCTCAGTCGCCCCCCCCCCCCCCCCCCCCCCAGCTCGGCCAGTCAGGCTCTGTAGGCCTCGTAGTGTCGCAGTAGTCAGGAAGGCAGGGAACTCAGTGTTACCTTGGCTGTGTAAGATGTTGGTTTGTTTACCTCACTAGATTTCTATGCTGTTTGGCTCAGATGACATGAAGCAAGTATAACAAAAAAAAAAGTTAAAAAAATGTAGCCACTGTTGCAGTTTGTGTCTCCTTTCATGTAAATAGTTTAATCCTGTGATTGCTCCTGCGTGTTTTGTGAGGATGCATTCAGGGACTCATGTGTTCAGCAGACCTGTGGCGGGGCACTCACCTGCCGCAGAGTAGGGAAGAAATCCAGAGAGATCCACTCAATGGAGAAGGGATGTTAAAACCCAAACTGGAATCCCGTCTGTCTCGATGAGCCTCATTTTCTGATTTAAAAAAAAGTGGTTGTACATTTTATCTAAAGATAAATCGATACAGGACGGACCTGTAAAACCAAAACTCCTACCCAGAAAGAGGATCTCTGCACACGCTCCCCACTTCAGAAACTGACCTCATGCTGTTACTCAGATTAAAGTCTTATGTTGTTTTTATTAGATAGAGAAATGCCGTGCGTTATTTGGGGAGTTTGTCCATAATAAATTATATAAATATATATATCTTTGTATGATGTAGAAAGTGTGTGCTCTGCAGCCTCGCTCTCTTCACACTGTGCTCGGTTTGTCACATTGTATCAAAAGAAAACGCTTTGATGTGTAATTGACTAGAATGGCGTGTGTGATAAACTTGTTTCCAATCTCAGTTTTGTCAATGTAATGAAATCAATTATATCTGCGGCGTTACTGCGCTGTCACGAGATACATTTCTATTTATGAGCTTTTTTGACATCAGCTTTGTGTTTCAATGGTTTTGGTTGATTTATTTCCCCCTTCGGATGATTTTGTTGTAGCGATGAGAATCCTTGAGCTTGAGTTTATTAAGGCTTTTTGTAACTTGTGCCTGTCACAGTAATTTGCCTTTAAGTGCTTTGGAGAAAAAGTAATTTCTGTGTGTACTTTGTAATGTTTTGTAAGGCTGTTTTAGATTTTTGGCGGAGGATTATTTTTTATTGAACTAGATTCTTACAAGTATACTGAACCCTTATTTTTGTGCATTTTTAAACCTGTTCTTGACTACACTTTAACTATCTAAGGACAGATGACGGTCTGTAATAAACTGCATAGTTCAGCTGTATTTTGTACTTGGTCACAATGTGTAATAAATTGGTGTAAACCAAAAAGATTGAGCACATTTATTTTTTTATCAAACATCAACATCACAAAACTTCTATTCGAAACAAACAGCTGATTTACAAACATTTATTTTCTAAGGTTTGGTAGAAGATCTCTTGGGAAACTCCAGAGATTCCCTCCATACAGTATAATTTAAAATTCTAGTTTCCATGGCAACTTATTATTCACATGTTTTTCTACAATTCAAGATGAGTTCTGACATCTAGCTCAGTTTGCAGTCTCAGAACAGGGAATAGGAGATTCAATACAAAAAGGCAGGACGACTGAGTACAACACACACAACTTAAGTTAGAGGGGAAGAAGGCGTGGTCCTCAGACAGCAGGACCCCGTCAGAAGTAAGTGCACATCGTCCTTTAAGGCTGATCCGTTTTCAGTCATCTCTTTCTGGCCTTCGATTTTGAAAAAGTGCAAAGTTCTGATCCGCAGCGAGGGTCCTCACAAGGAGCAGCCGGCCAGGTACTTCCCTGTGGAACAGCAGGAGATGAGCATTGACCCAGAGGAGACGTTCTGTATGTGCAAACTCTTTCAGCATCAAGTGAACTGAATGACCAACAGAATATATATATCATTTCTGTTCTCCCTGCAGTATACAAAGCACTTAAAGTGAGCTTGCTTATGCTACAGTAAACTACCTAATGAATTGCATTACTTTTTATATTTCATATACCTTACGTCTTTGTGTTTTGCTTAAGTTATAGGAACTTGTAAATATAAAACAACTTTAATCACTTACGGCCCGTCCACACAGCGGCGTGCGTTGACGCTTGCCGGCGGGCGTGTTTGACACTCGACCAACAACCAATCACATGAATCTCCTGACACACAAGCAGCGGTTTGATTGGCTAGAGCTTGTACTGGCATATGATTCGATTGGCTGACGCTTCTGCCAAGGCGTCAAAAGTTGAACATTGCTCAACTTTTGCAGCGAGCCACGCCAGCAACGCTCCACGTCGCTTCCCACGATGCAGTTCGGCTAAAAGTGACGTCTCCCCATTCAAAGTGAATGGGCAGAAGCGTTGGAAGCTTCAACGCACGCCGCTGTGTGGACGGGCCGTTAAAGTTATTTCAATTAAAGGCTAAAAAGTGGATTAGTATCAGACAAGTTACTAAACTACAAACTGATTTTAGTGCTACAGCTAATGATTATTTTCATGTCTTTAAAAGTAATGGTATAGTCTGGTAGAATAACAAAGAATAACAAAAGGTCATACAAATATTTTAAACAAGTGTATTAGTGTCTTTGTCAGCATAGTATTCATTAAATGTATAAATGTCAGGAAAATATTATTATACATATAGAAAAAGTCATTGCACAGTATACAAAAAGTAATATTATAGTATGTAATAAAAAGGTAAATATATAAAGTACCTCATAAAAAAATGTCCTGTGAAGTGGTTTCATTATCCTCTTTCCATCAACCCCCCTCTATCTCTCATCATTCTCAGTCAAAATATGTGACCGTGTACTATGTAATAAAACCTTAAGCCACAAATTAAAGAAATGCCATCGTATAGCATTTCATAAATAACAAATAACGTGTGTGCGTTCAGTCACCTGTGGCGAATCTCTTCTTGACCAGCGACATGCGGTAGCGGCTGCCCACCAGCTCTACGTCCAGGCCTGCCAGCGAGGCCCCGGAGCCCACAAACTGAACAGCCAGGCTGGGTGGGGGGCCGCGGGGGGTCTCCAGGCACTGCCAGCTGGCACACAGGGTCCCTGAGCCTGGGGGACCACCCACAGGCAGAGAGAGACAGGAACATGAGAAACACCACTTTACAGCAAGATGAAGATCACATGTAAGAATTGTATTATTTTTAGTCTGTAATATTATTAACATTCATTATTATTATTATTATTATGGTCATAAGCTAAAGCTCCTTGTGCACTTGACACAAAATGAAGCAACAGCTCAGAGGAAAATGCAGGATGACTTTATGTTGTTTAAGAAAACATCCGTGTCCTCAGTCCTGTCTTTCTTGTAACAGCACATTTAGCCCTTTCAACTGTTGCCCTCTTTGTAAATGTCACAAGCACTCAAGGTCATAAATGATGTGTTTAAGAAAGAACTACTGAGCTTCTTCTTTTCAGTCATCACATTAAGCTGAGAAATGTCTTCTCCAACTCAGTTACCGACTCCTACAAAGCGGCACTTTCAACAGTGATAAAGAAACCTTGTGCAGGAAATGAGTATTATCAGAAGTAACATGTATGGTGACCTTTCAGTGCTTTGTCGTTGGCTCATAAACCAGAGAAGTCTTATATTATAAACGTTTTAACTTCCCATCTATCACTATTTTTCTCTGTTCCCCGAGCCGGCAGCTTCACATCGAGGTCATCATAAATCAAGAAATGTTGGAGTCTGATACAACGATGCAGGCAAATGGTAAATGGACTGTACTTATATAGCGCTTTATCCAGTCTTTACGACCCCTCAAAGCACTTTACATACTACATGTCGTTCACCCATTCATACAGAGCAGTGTACCTTACTCTAGGAACTAACATTCATACACCGTTGGCCATGCCATCGGGAGCAACTCGGGGTTAAGTATCTTGCCCAAGGATACATCGACATGTTGACTGCATGGGCTGGGATCGAACCCACAACCTTCTGGTTGAAAGACGACCACACTCCCTCGCAGCCACCGTCGCCCTGTCGCAGGTGAAGGAAACCTTGAGATCAAGTTTGATATAATTTAAGACCCAACCATCTTGAAAGATTATTTTATACACCGTCTCTTCTCTGTGCAACATTATAGTTATGAAAGATGATCAACAATCCATTTGGCCAAAAAATGCAAAGGAACAGTTAACGTTTGCCGTGATGTCAAGGGAGCAGAGCAGCTGCCACGTTCAAAAGCTAAAGCTGCTGTCAGAAGGGAATGATACGCTTCAGACTTTTAGAAAAGAGCAGGATATAGAGTGAAGAGATTTCATTTCTTATTTCTACATTTGTCTAACACAATGTGGAAATGTGAACCTGACAAGAAGTAGAACATCTGGCACTCATTTTATTAAGAAGCTGGCTGAGGATAGACACAAAACAGTTGGTCTATTAGAAGTCATGTGCATCTTTCTGGAAACATTTTTCTCTTCTTGCTTCTAGAACTTTCTTTGTAAACTTCAATGTTCAATAAAATATATAAAAAGTGAGCAGCTCTGACCTTTGCTGTGATTGGTCGGGGAGAGGTTGGGGAGTTTCCACAGCAGCCGTCGTTCCTCAGCGTTCCTGCAGAGGAGCAGAGAGTCAGAGAGGCCTGAACTGATCCTGAGTCTGCCCTTTCTCCTGTCCATCAGCAGCCTCAGATTAATCATGTCCTACCAACGATATTCAGTGGGTACGCTTTTGTGTTAGAGCAGCAACCAACATTGTTTTTCTAATCAATTATTCAGTGTATTATTTTTGTATTTGATCACTTGTTAGAGAAGAAAATAGAGAAAAATAGATCTATTTTCTTGTTGTTGAATACATTCCCAGTTTACATGATAAAAGACAAACACACAATTTCAAAGTTTCACTGGTTTGAATTGGGAAGATTTGCTATATTTTTCTTTTATATTATAATAAAATAATTATTTGGGGTCATGGACAGTCAAACAAAACCACACATATGAAAATATCCCCTTGGTGGGCATTTTTTAACAACATTTAGATTTGATAAAACAGGCGATTATTAAATAAAAATTAAAAGATTAAATGACGAAGGAAATAATTGCCCTGAAATGAATAATAAAATACCTATAACTGATAAAGCTGCTTGGTTGAGTGGCTCATATCATATGATTTTATGGTTAATTTCTAATTGTATTTTTCCATTACCGATAATTCTGTTGATTATATTGATAAAGTAAATTACAGGACAGACCCCCCCTAATGGGCTAATGCTCCTAACAGATAACAGCTCTGTGTCACCCCCCCCCTCTCACCAGGAGGCGGGGGGCTGGCACTGCAGGTCCGTGGCGGTGTGGTCTAGCGGGAGCAGCACCTGGACCGCAGCCAGCTGGGTGGAGGGGGCCGTGGCGGGGCAGCAGTGGTAGTCCAGGGAGACCCGGGTCACCGTGCCGCTGCGCTGACACTCTGCAGAGAGCAGGAGGGGGGCCCGGCCCGGGTCCTGGGACGACACCTGGGGGGGGGGGCAAAGGAGATTGTCAGTCTCAAGGCAACTGAAAAAAGTCAACTAAGGGAATGGGGTCTAAAACCAAATCTAGTGATCCTGATATTTGCAAACCAATACAAAAAGAAAACTCTAGTCCGAGCACAGTAGAAAGGTGAAAAATATAATAACTTCAACAAATAAGGAGAATACAGTGTCCAATGATAAACAAATAGTGAATGAAGCTTTACATAAGACTGTTAAACACCTGAACTTTTGAAAGAACATCCATAACATTCATCTATTTGCAACTTACAAATTATTTATCGAATATATCATGTTGCAATTACTTGTATATAGACTCTCCTTGTACTATTTCTATTCTATTCTATTTGTATTTACTTGCACTATTTTAACTATTTTATCTGTTGTATTGTGTTGCACTGTTGGAGGAGCCTGTGACCTAAGATCTTCATTGATATATCTGCACTGTAGCTGTGTACACATGACAATAAAAGCCTGGACATTGAAATGAACTTGAATGGTTTAAATGGATCTATTTTCTTTTCAGCATCTTTCAGATCATAAGGATATTTTTCAGAAGTTAATAACCACCATTGTACATTTAAGATGTGGAACTGATGGGGTGACATTTGAATTAAATGGCACATATAAACAGAACATCTGAGTAAATGGAGCGTGAGCATCTGAAATCCTGACCTGATACTTGAGCAGGCCGACGTTGTAGTACGAGGCCTGCGGGTTGAGCTCGGCCTCCCTCTGCAGGTACAGCTGCAGAGCCTGCATGTTGAACCAGAAGTCTCGGGTGTCCGGGTCACTCTGGGACGGATCGCTGCAGAAACAGAGGGACGATGAGCGTCTCATTACACT